TTTTTTAAGTTAAATAATAAAAAAAATGCGGCGAGATGAGCCGTGAAATGTTTCGTGGCCTCTGCGACTCAGTGCTCGGCCTCCGCAGTTTTACGCGCTAGTTTAGCCCTATTAAAAAATATATATATATTAAACGGAAACAATTATTCCCTTTCAGTCCCTTACAAGTTCTTCTCGGACCCATCTGGCCTGAACGAGAAGAGGAAGCAGCGGCGCATCAGGACCACGTTCACCAGCTCCCAGCTGAAGGAGCTGGAGCGCGTGTTCGCAGAGACGCACTACCCGGACATCTACACCCGGGAGGAGCTGGCGCTGAAGATAGACCTGACCGAGGCCCGAGTACAGGTGTGCCATCAGGCTTTTAAATCTTCAGCATGACAGAAATGAAGTGAAAGTCAGGACGTCTGACACTTATATAACAAATAAAACTGTGTATCCGCCTAATGCCCCGTCTTCACCTGTGTATGTGTGTTTCTGTCAGGTGTGGTTTCAGAACAGACGTGCCAAGTTCCGTAAGCAGGAGCGTGCAGCCAACGCCAAAGCCAACAGCTCTGCTGGCACCACAGGCAGCAGCACCAACAACAGCTCTGGAGGGAAAAAGGGCGGGGAGCCAAGATCTTCATCAGATGATGATGAGTCTAAAGAGTCCACCTGTAGCCCCACACCTGACAGCACGGCCTCCCTGCCGGGATCAGCCAATGGAAACTTGGGGAGCCCTGCAAGTCTGAGCCCCAGTCCGGCTCCTGCCAACAGCAGCTACACCAACACCTCCAGCTCTCCGGTTCTCCAGGGGCTGAAGCCTCCCAGCTGGTCCAGTCTGGGGCCCTCCAACCCGGCCGTGGCGCAGCCCGCTGCCCAGACTCAGGAGATTCTGAAGGCCTGGCAGCCAGCGGACAGTATGACCGGGCCCTTTGCCGGAGTCCTGTCCTCTTTCCACAGAAAACCCAATCCCACCATCAAGACGAATCTGTTCTGAAGAACAGAGGAAGACAAATGAGAAACAAACTGTAAGCGAGAGGAGTTTCTAGCCTTTGTGGAGAGAGACAAGACTTGCCCATTAAAACACTGAATCCGTTGCTGTAGTCTGCTGCGGTCCAGCAAGGTTCTCAGTTCTTCTCTAACCAACTCAGAAAATAAAATCACAGGTCTGCTCACCATCTGCCGTCCAAAAATATTATGCAACAGTGCACACTGTACCTGTAAAATCTACCTTGACACGGGCAGTTTCCTCCCTTTCCTGCAATGACTCCACTCTCACTCCCCGATAAAACAAAGAGAAATACTTTACTTAATAATGGTAAACTATACAGGCCCTTAAACTGTCCATATTTGCATCGTCTTTTTGGTCTCTCTGGTGCACTTACATTCCCACACTCACTGCACTGCAGCAAACTCGGTGGTGCATGGCAGCAGCTCTGATGAGTATGGCGGTCAGGTACGAGTTTAAAGCAGAAATCTAAACATCACACTCCGAAATCTGCTGGGGAAGCAAACTTTCACCCTCAAGCACAACTTCCTCTAAGCCCCCCCGACACACAGGCTTTCACCAGTCGGAATAGATTCCCCCCTAAATCTCTTTGCCAAGCAGAGCAGGGGCACCCAAAAATCCAATTAGACCTGCCGGGTCTAGACCAGACATCCCCAGTTCACCTCACGCTCCCCCCTCCTTCTTTACTGTATCAAGTCCTCCAGAATCCCACACTCTCGCCGTCCCATCATGCCTTTATCTATCAAACAGTTTGTCAGACTTTTGCAAGGCAAAAAGTTGGAGACTTTAAGGTGTTTCGACTCCATTTTTAGTTCATATGCTGCTACTTTCTCCCCCGTTCTTTGCTCGGAATAAAGCAGATTGTAGCCTGATTATATCTGACGTCTCTGACCGGACTGAAGCGAACAAATGAGTTTGTACAGCAGGTCGCAGTCCGGGTTAGGGTCTTTAGCAGGCTTACGAGTCATACGTTTCTCTCCCATAGGTGACACATGTGGGGTAATCTGGCAATACACTGAGAGATGGAGTTTTGTACTGTATCCGCATTAATACTCAGATTTTGTTTCTTCTTTTTTTTTTAGCTTGCGAGAGTTGCTTGTAAATCACCTCTATTGCATTTTGATGAAACTCACTGGTTTCTGAGGAAGAAAAAAAAAAAGTATTTATTAATATTTTTATTATGTCAGTGAGAAACCTGCGCATTTATTTGAACTGCCCCATAAAGTTTTGTGACTGTAAATTCTGTAATTAGTAATATAAATATTAGGTAGGCTTTGTTTTTGGTTTTTTGCTTTACAGATCCATTTCATTGCAGAGCGCCTGTCTCACGGACCAACGCGTCAACGACAACTACGGACTGACAGAAAGCTCGAGTGAATGAGATGTTATAGCACTACTCTGAATATTCTAATAAATCTACATTATGGAGGCATTACCTGGCGCGCGTGGTGGTCTGGCTTCTTGTGTGTGGCATCACCATAACAGTGTTGTGTTTTATGTGCGAACATATACAGGTTATCATACAAATCTAATTCCAAAAAAGTTGGGATGCTGTGTAAAATGTAAATAAAAACAGAATGCAATGATCTGCAAATCTCAATCTCAGTTAACAACAGAATAGAAAAAACAAACATAAGAAATGTTTAAATTGTGACTATTTTATAAAATATGAGCTCAATAAGAATTTGATGGCAGCGATGCATCGCAAAAAAATTGGGACAGGGGCAACAAAAGGCTAGAAGAGTCAGTGGTCCTAAAGAGAAACAGCTGAAGGAACATTTTGCAACTAATTGTGCTAACTGGCAACAGGTCAGTAATAAAAGATGATCAGGTATATAAAATAAAGCATCTTAGAGAAGCGATTCTCCAGTCTACAAATTGCAAAATGATTTTCTAATAATCTTCCTGAACATAAAATTGTGAAGACTTTACTATCTCACCATTCACGGCACATAATATCACCAAAAGATTCAGAGAATCTGGAGAAACTTTGGATAGCACTACGTTAAAAACAGGCCTTATTCTCTCATGGAGATCACAGCATGGGCTCAGAAACATCCTGTGAGCACCGTGCCATTCACAAACGCAGGTCAAAGCTCTATCGTGCAAAGAAGACGCTGCATGTGAAGATGATTCGGGGGAACAATGCACATTTAAAATGCGCTGTCATCACAAACTGAAACGTGAAATGCTGCATCCTCTGGATGAAAGACAGGAAGATATTTTCCCATCTAAACAACATCCTTTTCAGAGAAGGCCTTGCATATTTTAGCAGGATGATGCTAAACCGCATACTGCTGCAGGACTGCAGGTGCTGAACTGGCCTGCCAGCAGAACTTTCACCAAATATTAAAAAAAAAAAAAAAAAAA